TCCAAAATGTCCTGCAGCTCTCCCTAGGCTCAGTCCTTTAACAGTCCAACCCAGCCCATTATGGTACCCCTCTGTTGGCAATGTTTCTGTAGCCCTCCCCAGGCTCAATCCTCAGTCTGACCAACAGGGCCTATCTCAGTACACTTGTTGGCCAGCTTACGGGTGAAGGTTCTTGCTCTGGGGTGGAGCAGCACCCCCAGGCCTTCCTCCTTGGAAGCTCTTTACCCATCCTTTAGTATTCTGACCCCAGCTCTCCAGTTAGGTCAATCTCAGTTCACCTACTGCAGCCAGCCAGGAGCACCTTTTGCTGCCTCAATCCCTGCCAACAGACTGAACTCACTCTGGCCCTGCAGCTCCTTTTATATGAACCTGCTGGGCCTTGATTGGTTGTGTCCCACACAGCTGCTCTATGCAGCTTGGAGGACCTCTCCACTTCCCTTTTCTGGGGCAGGGTGCAGCAGGGCTGCGAGGCTTCCAACAGGGGGCCTCAGGGCCTAGTCCACCCCGTCACATGCCTCTATTCAGAGAAGAAAAGATTGTGCTCTGCCTTGTTTTTTACATAGAAGACAATCGTCATGTTTTCAGCCACTGAGTGACTATGACAGATCCGTGTAACTGGGAGGATTGCACTACAGACTGCCTTAGTTCTAGGAGAGCAATAGGCATCCTGGCCTCCATGTGCCTTGCGTAGCCCTTGTGTGCTCTTGTGTGCTCCCCATCCTGTGAGGGATGCATCCATGATTATGGTCGCATCATGTGTGGCTGAAAGGAAAAGGTACATCCAGTGAACAAGAGAAACCATGATCTTGGTGGGGATTGTTACCTTGATACTGTCTTTGTCTAGTAAGTAAACAGATCGGAGCCAGCCCTGTACATAATGGAGGTGAAATCTGGCAAATGGTATTATATAGGTAGATGAGGCCATATGGCCTAGTAGGGAAAGACAGACCTTGTCTGTGGTTCAAGGTCTGAGGATGATTTGTTCAATCAGGCTGTTCGATGCCTGGAATCCCTCCGTAGGGAGGTAGGCCTTTGCAGAGGCTGAGTCTAGAGTTGCTCCTATGAAATCTGTTTTTTATGGGAGTCAGAGGAGACTTTTCTCTGTTTATACAGATTCCCAAGGATGCCAGGAGAAGGTCACCCACACGACCTAATCTTTATGAAGACCCTGGGTGCTGTTACCAGGCCAAATGGAAGTACTCTGAACTGGTGGTGGTCTTGTCCTAACAGAAATTTGAAGAACCTTCTGTAGGATGGGTTAATGTCAACATGAAAGTAAGCATCTTTCAAGTCAAGAACCACAAATCATATGCACCACTCCAGGGAGTAGAATAACTGAAGCCAATACAACTGTAACCAAATGCACCCCTGTATATACACCCTAGACACTATTGTAGTAATCTTTGTACAAAATATGCCTTGTAAGGTATCATATGAAAACTAATAACTCACTGGTTAATAACATCATGGTGACATGTATGTAGCATCATTATATATAAAGTTATGAATTTCCCATGTATGATGATGATAGCACATGTTGAAACCCACATAGCCTTGACTAGGCATAAGTTGTTAAACAGGTCTATCCTAAACAAAGAAATGTGTTTACACCTCAACTTACATATAAGTAGTAAACAGGGTCCTTGGGACAGCAAGAGGGGGTAAAGCAGTTTCTCAAAGATAAAGGACAAACTGATGCCTCTAGCCAGGTGTCATCAGTTGACTGGCACTCAGCAGTCAAGTGGCCTTTCTTTGACAATGAAGTAGGGCAAGAACAGATCAAACTGCATTTTAGCAAGCAAACACCAAGGAACCTCTTTCACCATGAGACTTTGAGTCCATCCTTGCAGCTGGAAGGAATTTTATCTAGGGCTAACCTTCAGGAAGATGCATTTCAAAGGATGACTAGACTATAAAAGTGAGAGAAATATAACCTGGGGTGTTTTTGCCTTTCTCTCTCTTTCACCTAAGACAACAAAGGAACGAACCAGCCTTTTGACTTTGGAAGGGATCCTAACATGTAAATTTGGTTAGCAACATTGCTAACCAAAATGTAAGGATTTTACTTTGAAACAAGTTTAGTTTACGCTTCAGTAACTAGAACGTATTTTATCTTTTTCTCTTGTAACCATTTCTGACTTTAATACCTTGTACTTGTAGTCACTTATAATCTATCCCTCTGTAGTTAAATAAACTTGTTTTATTTTTTTAATCAAAACTAATCCATTGTTGTGTTTAAACTGAACTGTTGGGGGTAATTCCAGTTTAAAGTGTTGCATATTGACCCCTTAAATGTGGAATGGACCTATAATAGCTGAACTGCCCAGGAGAAGGCTGGACAGTGTAGAACACACATTTGGGGGGAAATTCGGGAGTGTGTTGGAGTTACCTTGAAGTAGGGTGACCAAATGTCCCGATTTTAGGGTCTTTTTCCTATATAGGCTCCTATTACCCCCACCCCCGTCCTGATTTTTCACATTTGCTATCTGGTCACCCTACCCTGAAGGTAGTAACCAAGGCTGGTGGAAGCCATAGTGTGGCTGGTGTGGTGCAGGCAGGCTGCTGGACCAGCTCTGTAGCTATACACAGACACTCAGGGTATGACCTGCATGCTGTTTGCAAGCAGTCCAGCTTGGGGGCTAAAACTACAAAGCAGTATGAGGCACCCAAGGTTGCAGGGCAGGTGGTAACACAATGCCTCACTGGATTGGATCACACCTGGAATGCGACAGTAATCGTGTGGAATTTTGATTTGTGCATAAAGATATTTAGCTGACAAAAGTCAAGAATGGGTCTCCATCCTCTTTTTCCTAGGAACTATGAAATAGGAGGAACAAACCCCTTTTTCTTGAAGTTGGGGTGGCACTTTCTCTACAGCCCCTTGCCAAAGGATAGAGTCCACCTCCTGAGGGAAGATTTCTTCATGAGAGTGGTCTTTGAAGAGGGGCTGTGAGAGGCACTTGATGTCTATTCTGGTTACTATATCTGATATTCACCTGTCTGTTGTTGTTGTCCTCTAGTTGTGGGTGAAAAAGGCAAAGTGGCCACAAAAGGTTTGGGAGACCATACGAGATGCCATGCATGAGGGTTCTCAGGCATCCTGGCAAAAGCTGGTTGGTGAGTGGGGTTGAGCAGCTGCAGCTGAGAGAGCTGCAAACCTAGGTCTTTGTACCCTGTGGCATTTGGGCAGTGGTTCAGAAGAGCCCTGGTGGTAGAATGGCTGAGGAAGAAGTCTTGATTTATACACCTGTTTGTGATGTGTTCTCTTTGGAACTGGGATATGAATGCCCAGACAGCAGAGAATTATCCTGGAGTCTTTTAGCACGTGTATCTACTCATCAGTCTTCTCACTGAAGCGATTAGACTTGTCAAAGGGCAAGGCCTCTATGGTACTCTAGACCTCCCTGGGAAACACGGTGAGTGAAGCCAAGATTCACACCTCATAACTATTGCCATAGCCAGGGGCGGATTAGGGTTTTGTGGGGCCTCTGGGCCAGAGCAAGTGGGAGCCCTTCTGCCACCAGTCCCCCCCTTTCCCCTGGCATTCCTGTTGGGGAAATGGGTTGGGGCGTGAGGGCTTGCCCCACTCACCCCCCATGGCTAATCTGCTACTGGCCTTAGCTATATAGCTCTAGACATGTTATCAGCCACATCCATTGCAGCTTGAAGAGAGGTCATGGCTACCAGTTTGCCATTGGGACCTTTCCTCCTAAGGGAGTTTGTCTTTGAACTCTAGGAATTTGGAATAGTTTGTAAAATCATATTTTGCTAACAGGTCTGTTAGTTAGCAATACTAAACTGAAGGCCGGTGGATGAAAATACCTTCCTCCCTAGAAAGTCTAGGCATTTAGTGCCTTTGTCTGCAGAGGTTTCCTTGGGGGTGCTGTAGCTCTCTCTGTGGCTGCTTGCCATACTAGGGAGTTGGGTGCAGCGTGAGTAAACAGACTCTGACTTTTTATCTGGTACAAAGTATCATCACCTCTCAGCCCTCTTTGAAAACGGGGGGCACAGTTAGCAAGTGTTTGTCCTACGGTCCTGGCTGGTGCAACGATGACCTTATTTACTGGGAGGGCCACCTGGCTAGTACCAGAAGGCTGCAAGCTGTCCAGGAGCCTCTTCTGCGTATCATGGACCTCCTTGAGTGGGATCTAGAGTTCAGTCAATGCCCTCTGCAAGAGCTCTTGGTATTGCCTGTGTTCATCAGACAGGATGGGGTGATTGCCTCATTGGGTGAGGAGGATGACACGCCTATCGGAACTGTTGGCACTGGCAGATCCAGTTCGATTTCTTCCTCTGTGTGCTCTAATGGAGCCAGCTAGTGTCAGCTAGGAGGAGAGAGGGCTGGTTGGGATTCATGTATGGATCCAGAGTGCCTAGCATGGGGATCCCCAGGCACTGGGTACTATATGTCTCCTGGATAGTCATAGCTGGGCAGAGGATGGGTCTATCACGGGATATGCGGTGCAATCCAGACCAGTGAGGGGTTGCCACCACCTTCCCTGTAACCCTGGGTGCCTTACAATGCTTTGCTGCTGTAGCTCCCAGCCTGAGACACTCAGAACCAGCTTACAAACATGGAAGTCACTCCCTGTGTGCTTCAGCAGCTCTTACCCCAGCAGCTCTCCTGGACAGCTCAGAAATAATAAGGTTCATTGCTCCTTTAAAGCAACAAAAGCACATTACATCTGATTAACTTAAGTGGGGTAAATACACTCTTTCCTTCAAACACAGCACGTGGTTGGGTGGAATTTACATAGCTTACTACCCACCAAGCTCTTTGGGGGCAAGGACTCTCTCTTACAGGGCCTACTACACTGAGGCCCTCACTCCTGGATGGAGCTGCAGGGTGCCATTGTAATAGACACACAAGGCGGCTGGGGGGGCTGTCAGATGATGCAGAGCGAACTTGGGATACTGACCTGTATCAAAACTGCCAAAATGTATTTGCCACTTTTGAAAGTGGGTTTCTAGTTTTCTGAAGCTTTATTCTATGGACTTACCTACATTCCCAGCACTGAAATATTCAGCCGAGCCCCACAGGACTCCAGCACTTCATCAAAGAAGCTAATTTCAGCTAAGGGATCATCACAGGGAGGACTCAGAGCCTGAAGAAGGAGAAAATGTTTTCATATGATTTAGAGGGTTAAAAAACGCTGCAGTGAAAAACAATTTGCTAAATTCAAAAACTTGGCACAGCTCACAACAGATGTATGGAAAAGTGGATTTGCATCCTGCCAATCCTGGGGCTGTGAGGGGTGACACAGGAGCAACTACAGTGGTTCTGTGCTACTCGGCGCTGCTTTAATGGACTGTAAGATCTGACTCTACATCAGCACTGCAGAGGATATTGTGGTCATGGTATAAAAGCATACTGAAACATATACAAATAATAACAACCACTAATTGATCATCTCAAAACGGTCACCAACACTCAAGCCTAAGTTTCCCGCAAACACGGTGGTGAAACAATGAAGAGGATGCAAAAACTACATGTATTTAATAAGGCTAATTTCCTCTTCTCCAGTTCTCGTCTTGATGGAGTCCATACAGTACCTAAGGGCAAGCAGAAGCTTGGAATAAAACATTATTTCAGTCAAACTTCCTATTTTATTTTTTAAAGGATAAGGCACAATCCTTAAAAGTTGCAAAGAACTAAAAAAACCTGCAGACTCAATCTTTTTCTTAAGACTTTAGTGCAGAGCCCACCTGAAAAGTGTGGTGAGGTGTACCAACCACACTGGGTCTGAAGGGGTTAACGTGAGTCTGTCGCTGCAATCAGTCTTACCCCACCGTCTCTGTGAGAGCCTGGAAAGGGGAAATAAGAGGAAGAGCCCAGCTCAGTGATGGCTGACTGGAAAAGGGAGCAGACCTCTTGAGCTAGCCCTGTCAGGGAAGCTTGGCTGTGAATATTCATGAGAGCCATCAGGCCCAACCACCATGTGAGTGGTAGACCTTGCTTATTGGACTTTCTTGGCATGCTAGACACAGGCTAGGACCCACATGGACTACTACCTGTCTTCCCACCTCTAGGTCTTCACAAGAATTGTGTGAGTATGTGCATGGGATGACATGGGGTGTCAAACTAATATTACACTGGAGCTACATTCTCTTTTGAATTGGCAGATTTGTGCTTTTACTAACAGTGTTAATACAATTATTAAGAACTCTGCTTTGCCCTCAGTGTGAGAGTCATCGCTGTGCACATGGGGGTTCCCAAACAGACAGCAATCTTAATTCTGTTGTGCTTGATTCTGGGGCTGGAACCTGTCGAAGCTCAAGGGTCTAATTACTTTTATCAATTGGGGATTCTAAATCATAGAATATCAGGGTTGGAAGGGACCTCAGGAGGTCATCTAGTTCAACCCCCTGCTCAAAGCAGGACCAATCCCCAACTAAATCATCCCAGCCAGGGCTTTGTCAAGCCTGACCTTAAAAACCTCTAAGATTCCACCACCTCCCTAGGTAACCCATTCCAGTGCTTCACCACCCTCCTAGTGAAAAAGTTTTTCCTGATATCTAACCGAAACCTCCCCCACTGCAACTGGAGACCATTAGTCCTTGTTCTGTCATCTGGTACCACTGAGAACAATCTAGATCCATCCTCTTTGGAACCCCCTTTCACGTAGTTGAAAGCAGCTATCAAATCCCCCCTCACTCTTCTCTTCTGCAGACTAAACAATCACAGTTTCCCTCAGCCTCTCCTCATAAGTCATGTGCTCCAGCCCCCTAATCATTTTTGTTGCCCTCCGCTGGACTCTTTCCAATTTTTCCACATCCTTCTTGTAGTGTGGGGCCCAAAACTGGACACAGTACTCCAGATGAGGCCTCACCAATGTCAAATAGAGAGGAATTATCACGTCCCTCAATCTGCTGGCAATGCCCCTACTTATACAGCCCAAAATGCCATTAGCCTTCTTGGCAACAAGGGCACACTGTCATCTCATATCCAGCGTCTTGTCCACTGTAACCCGTAGGTCCTTTTCTGCAGAACTGCTGCCTAGCCATTCGGTCCCTACTCTATAGCAGTGCATGGGATTCTTCCGTCCTAAGTGCAGGACTCTGCACTTGTCCTTGTTGAACCTCATCAGATTTCTTTTGGCCCAATCCTCTAATTTGTCTAGGTCCCTCTGTATGCTATCCCTACCCTTCAGCATATCTACCACTCCTCCCAGTTTAGTGTCATCTGCAAACTTGCTGAGAGTGCAGTCCACGCCATCCTCCAGATCATTAATGAAGATATTGAACAAAATCGGCCCCAGGACCGACTCTTGGGCCACTCCGCTTGATACCGGCTGCCAACTAGACATGGAGCCATTGATCACTACCCGTTGACAATCTAGCCAGCTTTCTATCCACCTTATAGTCCATTCATCCAGCCCACCCTTCTTTAACTTGCTGGCAAAAATACTGTGGGAGACCATACCAAAAGCTTTCCTAAAGTGAAGGAATAACACATCCACTGCTTTCCCCTCATCCACAGAGCCAATTATCTCATCACAGAAGGCAATTAAGTTAGTCAGGCATGACTTGCCCTTGATGAATCCATGCTGACTGTTCCTGTTTCCTCTCCTCTAAGTGCTTCAGAATTGATTCCTTGAGGACCTGCTCCATGATTTTTCCAGGGACTGAGATGAGGGTGACTGGCCTGTAGTTCCCCGGATCCTCCTCCTTCCCTTTTTTAAAGATGGGCACTACATTAGCCTTTTTCCAGTCATCCGGGACCTCCCCGGATCGCCATGAGTTTTCAAAGATAATGGCCAATGGCTCTGCAATCACATCCGCCAACTCCTTTAGCACCCTCAGATGCAGCGCATCCGACCCCATGGACTTGTGCTCGTCCAGCTTTTCTAAATAGTCCTGAACCACTTCTTTCTCCACAGAGGGCTGGTCACCTCCTCCCCATGCTGTGCTGCCCAGTGCAGTAGTCTGGGAGCTGACCTTGTTCGTGAAGACAGAGGCAAAAAAAGCAATCAGTACATTAGCTTTTTCCACATCCTCTGTCACTAGGTTGCCTCCCCCATTCAGTAAGGGGCCCACACTTTCCTTGACTTTCTTCTTGTTGCTAACATACCTGAAGAAACCCTTCTTGTTACTCTTAACATCCCTTGCTAGCTGCAACTCCAAGTGTTATTTGGCCTTCCTGATTTCACTCCTGCATGCCTAAGCAATATTTTTATACTCCTCCCTGGTCATTTGTCCAATCTTCCACTTCTTGTAAGCTTATTTTTTGTGTTTAAGATCAGCAAGGATTTCACTGTTAAGCCAAGCTGGTCGCCTGCCATATTTACTATTCTTTCTACACATCGGGATGGTTTATTCCTGCAACCTCAATAAGGATTCTTTAAAATAATCAACACAGTCAGAATAATCAATAACAGCTCAACCAATCAGGCAACAGAGGGGTATATGCATATTGTAAATCCTGTCGTCTTGCCTTAAGAATAAATACACTTAAATGGTTCTTTTCTTATTTGCTGTGTGATTTTGTTAAATAATGGCTTGACAGCTCCTGGAACTCCAGGTTTCCTGCCCCTGAGTTCTATGCACAAGACACAACACCATACTTGTTTCTCTCTAAGGCCTGATAATAAGAGCTGCTGTTTGCTGGTCACCTCAGACGGAGCTATGGGCACTGAAGGTCATTCGAGATCACAATAAAAGGCATGTCACTAAAGGCTCAGTCCTTACAGATGATGAGCACCCTCAACTCCCAACGAAGACAGGATCAGGCCCTAAGACATGCATGTTTGTTTTCACATCTACGTTAGGATTTTAATTAGAACAAATATAAAACACTTTTTCAGCAGAGCCATGCAGAACACCTGCAGTAATCCACACTCAGGAAAACAATTTAAATTAGATTTAATATTCTAAAACTGCTTTATTGCAACATCATAGTGCTACTGTCCAAAACTGAGTCTGTATAAAGTGCTATGTTTGCCAGACTGACGTTAGCATATATGGTTTAAATGATGACACAAGCAAAACTCTCCTCTGGAATGGACAAATTAAAGATACCAAAATATTATGTTTCCTTTTGCCAATGAGAACAGCTGGCAAGATGGCTTTACTGAACACAATTGCAGCCAGCAGACATAGGTTATAATTTTCACAGGCTTTGTTTCTGAAATATGGAGTTAACAAAACATGCTATTTTTTTCTTTTGAAATTTGAGGGTTTATGTCTTTCATCTGGTGAAATTTAGCATAAAAGTGAAAATAATATCAAGGTTACAAGCACCATAGGGAGGCTGCTAATGTGGGGAAAAAGGGCATTTGGCCAGTTAAAATAATAAAAGACTATAGCGCTTTCCCAGTGATGGCTGAAGCCAAGTGAGGTCTTTCCAACTGGAGCCACAATAGTCCTTTTCGGATTATGTGGTTTGGCACAATACAGAATGAGTAAACTTACTTTCCTAGAAGAGAAAACATAATTAACAGAAACAACAAGGCCATGCAGTACTAGGCCTTAGGTAAGCAATAACACACCACAGGGTGTACATTAAACAGCCAATATATGTACACCTTGGAGGTGCTGAAGCATAGCAGAATGGCTCAACATGGAATATGCATATTTTGTCTCATGACCCCATATTCTTATTAAAGAATAGATTTTCTATTAGCAATATGTAATTTAAAATAACTGTTAAAGTTTGGGATCTGTGTTTCTGGTACTTGAGCTGCTGTGCTGATACCAACAAGAGGAGTGGTTTTGCTCATTTCATCTCAGATAATAATACCTAGCATATTTAGGGCCAGATTCGTATTTACACTAATGCCACTTTACACTCCTCTGGCAGTGCTAAAGGGCCCTTAGCACTACCGAGACGGTATAAATCAGTCTGAGAATGAGGCACTTAGTGTCTTACATGTTGAAAGCCCTGTACACAAATTAGCTAATTAATCCTTACAACATTCCTGTGAGATAGGTAAATTAGTAATATTATTGCCTCACCCACATTTTACAAAAAATAGATGAGAAACCTAACTGAGAGAAGTGGAAAAAATTGCCCAAAGGCTTAACAATTTAGTTAGTAGCAAGGCTGGAATTAGAATTTAGGACTTCCTGACTCCCAGTGCGGTGTTCATTCCTC